TGTTGGAGGAAGATGAGCTGGGGTCATAGGGAGCCTGCTCAGAGGACAGGATGTGTCTCTGCCACCTGAAGTCGGCCTCGTTGATCTCCATGGACTCACGTGTCGATTCTGTACCATCTTTCAGGTCGTCCAGTCGTCTGAGGAGAAGCAGAGCCTGAGAAACAGCAGCTATGTTACTGTTTTATAGTAAAATCATGCTTTCAGTGAATAAAGGGGCATCACAGAGATTTTGACCACGTTACATCTGACCCCTCTCTCGCATCCTGTTTCAGGAGCGTACCTGCTCTGGTTGGATGCCGCGGCCTTGCGACATCTCATCCAGCGCCCCGAGGAGAGCGCAGGCACAGGAGACAGAAGAGTAACACGCCTCGATGCCTCCCTTCATACAGGCCTCTGTCATCCCGTCCATCACTCTTCCAGAAGAAGCGAGAAACACACAAACATACATTATCTTAACTGCTTTGCCTGCTCTAAGTAAAAAAAAATTATTTTGGTTAATTACTGAATTACTTCAGTGATGATCTGTGCACTTTATTGTCAGATTACTTAATTCATTATTAGGGAACAAGTATTTTGTCTTATTTGAGAAAAACATGTGAAAAGTAACTGTGTAGCATTAACAGCATATTCTAACATGACAACTCAAACAAAGATCAAAGCAAGAGAAGTCAAACTAACAGTTTAAGCAGGTCCAGGTGAGACTTCCTCTTTGAGAAGGAGCGCTTCCTGGTTTCAGGCTCAGCCACGCATGGACCGGCCAGGTCGTACAGCCGCTGGGGACTACCTAGAATCTAACCCACACACACAGAGAAACAGATCGATGCATGCACTCCAAATTCATTTGATATATCATTTCCAGAAACATATTTAGTCATCATGTAATGTCAAATGTCACACACTGTTATCACCTGACTGAATCTTATTTGCGTACACATAACAACATGGCTGACTAAAGATCAACTATGATGAATTACTTACACATAATTCAATAAAGAGGAAAGGAAATCAATGGCGGCCTGATGTTTCAAAATCAATCTGAAAAGTTACAATATGCTGTTGGAAAAGGTCAGCAATAATGTCTCCCCCCACCTCCTTCATGATTCGGATGGCCTCAATGCGGTGCTGAGGGGGCGGGTACAGCAGGATCCTGTGGTAGAGTGACTGCAGCACCGGTTTCATTGACTCCACGCAGCTGACCAGACGCACAAGCTCCGCGGCAATGTAACACACAGTCCGCACTACTGGTGCAATCCTGGCGGGGGCACTGGAGGAACAGCCGGACCCTCTGCCTTGATCGGATACCCCTCCACTGGAGGAATCCACCTCCTGGCTGATTCCTGAGAGAGGAAGGGAAGGAGAGACATGAGGCTCAACCATTAAAAGCATGTTGATGAAAATAAAGAAAGAAAAGAGGGACCTGAATACCAGAAATAGGTCTGAGCCAGATTGTAAATTTATCTTCAGCTACGCATCATTATCTTTAATGTCTAATAAAAAACTATTTTGAAGGAGACACCATCAAACTGACTGCTGGCAGGAAGATAAATAATAAATATGGTCTTTGCGTCCAGTACTGGGATTTTTCAAGAAGAAAAAGTTGGATTTTTTACATAATGGACACTGTGAACCCATTTAATGATTGAATCTCTAATTAGATAAATAGGCTTGTTCCAAAGCAACTATAATAATGTCGACATGATGCTTTGTAACTGCATCTAGTTATATGTTATCTCGAGCTCTAGGAGGATGACAAATTGGCCAATCAGTGCCGCAACAGCACATTGATATAATGATAGAAATATGGGATGTGTGGAACAGTTTCATACTTTTGGCAGGTGGAGTGGTAGTGGCAAGTTGTAGCCTACTTGACAAGTTTCTGTAAGAGCCAAATAAACTACAGCGAGCTAACTTTCAAAAGTTGTTAATTTCTTGATGTCTGGAGTTTGGACTCCTCATTTTCATTCCAAAAGACTCAAACAAGCCCTCAC